TCAGTGTAACACCATGTCATTAACTGAACAGTGGCCATAATCAGCTACCTGCACTTAACAACCTGCTCGAAAAGCATAAAATCACACTTTACTCCTAAACAATGTGCAGCTTTCAAAATTAATCCAACTATGTGTTTAAAAATGAGGCCATTTTGCTGTCATTTCATATTTAGGTATCCTCAGTAATCATAAACTCACCAACTGTCTTTCTTTTCTCCAGTGAATTATGAAGAAGGAATGTGCTGCTGGCATTTTGTCTCCTTTGAATGATTTGCAGGCAGCTGGAAAGTAAATAAAGGGGTGGTGGCAGCAGGCCTGTCACTCAAATTAGACCAACCGCTTTCACCTTCAGCTGAGTCAGGCCATCAAAAACTCAATCAAAACTTCTATTAATGGATCTCACTGACTTCTTGTACTAGTCTTTAAAAAAAAAATTAAAGTTTAAAAGTCTTGACAAGTCTTTGAGAAAGTCAAACTCACTGAATGAAGTAGCCATCAAGACTCACTATTGGGGAACTAAATGAGCCGGAAATAAATACATCTGATTTGCAACATGATTACTGTCTTAAGTTTGATGTGAAAATAAACGCTGATTAAAGGGATTTCCAACTCTGGAGACATACCCAAACCTCAGACAACAGCTGGCTCTTGCCTCCTCACTAAATATCCATTTACTCCAATCCCACCCAACAGCATCATCCGTGCTTTTATCAATTCGAGCTGCGTTTTCACAAGAGCGTCAAAACATGCTTTGCTGCAACTTGAATTTCCACCAACAAATCAGAGTGCAATTCTACTGTGACATGGACACGCAGCAAGTGCAGTGACTCAGATATCATCTAGAGAACCGTGATTCGTGTAAACATGTGCCGCTAAGAGACGCGATGACGAGAGCCAGCTCGAAGACGGACTTGAGTCCTTGATGGTGAATAATGTCCATATTTTTTAAGCACAACAGAAACACACTTTCAATAATTTGAACGCACAAAGCGAAATGTATGTTTATGTGCATGCATGTGTGTGTGTGTGTGTGTGTGTGTGTGTGTGCGTACATGTGTGATGTTTCTTCATGTCTCTTCATCTTTTGATTGGTTTAATTACAGACTTACTGTCAGCTTCCCACTCAATGCGCAGGAAAAACAAACTCTTAGGGCACATGAAAAGAAGTCGCGAATGCCTACACACACACACACACACATGCAGCACACACCTATCACAGTTCAAGTCAGTCACCGTGCTCTTTGATTCTCTGCCTGCCGGTGATCTGTCTTTCATCGTCTCCACTCCTTGATCCCTTGTTCTCTCTTTAGCTCTGCCGGTGCATAACATCTCTCTCCCTGTCTCCACGTCTGTCTCTGTTTATTTTGCATTGACTGTAGGTGGGAAGCTTAATCTTCTACCTGAAATTCCTCTGTATGTCTTATTCCTTCTCTCAATACACCTACAGTAAAGAAAAAAACAACTTTCAAAAATTAGCATAAATAGGTTTTTGGGGTGTGCCCCTTAAAAAAGGTTTCACTGGCCTTTTTGCTCCTAGAAGACACTGTGCTGTAACAAAGAGTGTTAAAGAGTGTTTAATGATCAAATCAAGCTCAAATCAACAGCGGACAAGCTTTTCATTAACAGCAATGACTCATTTGATGTGATTAGCAAGAATTTAGCCACACTCATAATCAACAGAGCGAGTGCCTTTTAAAACTCTGGCTCAAAGTAGAATCAATCTGCACTGTTCATTGCTACTTCTACGATTTTAAAAAAGGAACCATATAGGTGTGCCTTCTAAAAGCTTTCAGATTTTTCAAGCGGCTGAAATTGAGGGATAATTTAAGTCTTTTGAGCCGAAGCTTGTCATGATGGATGGATGTGGTTGTGAGAGAAGGGAAATCTTCAAAGCTAAATTCCTAGTCAATCAACCCAAGACTCCAAATTTGGGAATTTAAAGATTTACATAGAGGTATTTGCAAACCATCAAAGGCACACTTTATGCCTTCATCTGCCATCACTAACAGCCCAAGGAGGGCCCATGCTATCATAGATCTTACAGCTCATATGTTCAGCTGCACAGGTGCCCAACTTAGTGCACTGATGACACGGTCCCACACAGACTCTCCACCTGCAAAATGTCTCAACAACCAAATGAGAAACACTAGATTTGGAGATGAAAGCATCCTCGATGCCCATGAATTCCTCTAATTGACAACCAGCAAAGGACAACCTATTTTAACTTCATCTTAAGGCACAAACGTTCTTGCATGTGTTTATCCGAACTTTGATTTCTAAAACCACTCTCAGCATTTTTCCATAATGTAAGACACAAAGTGCCAGATCGCTCTCTCCACAGACTCTACATGAAGGACATTGATGTAGTAGGTTACCCATACACAGGAGGAATTGTAAGTAGACACAAATTAGACCACAAACCCCAATTTGATTAAAACTTCCCTCTCTGGGGTCTACACGGAGAGGATTTAGTATTGGTTTGTTGAACTGCCTTCACTGTGCATGGGGAAATAATAGCGGTGAGAATGAAACCTATGATTAGAAAAGCTTTCTTGCTTTTATGTTCCTTTGCTGGGATTATTACAAAGTATTATTGCAAAGATAAAATGCAATGAAGTGGAGCTGCTACTTCTCATTTTGTTTGGGACCCCCTGGAAGCCCATGACGGAGCGCAGAAAAGAAGAACCACTGCCCTGTTTTAAGCTGTTGACCCATAATGAGTAATTAATGCCCCCCCCCCCAAGAGTTTGGGAGGGTCAGTTTTTCACTTCACTCTTTATCACAATAGTATCATAAATGCCATTGGACTTATTTTATAATTTTGTCTGTAAAATTACAAAACAATTCTCATATTTTAGGATCATATGATTTAATTTAGGTGGCATTTAATATTTGCTGTATCTCTTCACACAATACACAATCATTTATTTGTGTATGTGCTTTTAAGAATCTCTGCAGACTTAAATGTACTTTTAAAAATAAAAATATTACTTGGATTTTCATTGTTTGTACTTTAAATTTACTTTCAATTTACTTTGATGCTATAACGTTTTTGTGTGTGTGCATATTCACAGAGCTAACCTTTTTATTATACAAGGGTAGAACTAAGCTAAAGCTTAAAATCAAATAATTTATCTACTAATGGAATATATTTTAAAAGTTTTGAAAGCTGATGAACTGACACATTTATTTTACAACTAATGCAAAACTAATGCAGAAAAGTAATAGTAAAAAAATTTATCTAGCCTACTTTTTCAGCTCTAAAAGCAATAAATGCCTCCTAAATAAATGGAAGTATTAATTTGTGGATAAATGGGACCTAGATTTTTATGTTCTTCATATAAAGCTATAAGCAATATATTGCATATTATGCAAAATGCACAGGGTCACTGTAACTCTTACACATGTTCCCAGTGCTGTAAGTTTGGCTACAAGACTCCACCAAACAGCTGTATCATAAATTGTCCCGCTAACTAAAATAATGAGCTGAAATAACTTCACTACCATAAGTAAACTCCAAATGACGTGTTTTAGTTGAGTTTCCTCTTAGATGTGTGAAGCATTTACGAAACATTCAACCCCAGAAGGCCTCCTGAGCTCTATAAATTTCTCCATGGGGGGAAATGGTTATGCTTCCTCTATTGGAATCAGCTGTGACATCTAGCATAAATTTAAACATTAAACTTTCACAAGAAAAACACTTGCAATGATAACACGCCAAAAAAGCGAGTAAGTAAACAAATTTCCCATTCACTTCAGCCTAGTATAGGATGATCATGACTACAGGCGCTGGCTTTGTTAGTTTTTCTACCTTCATCCCTTTAATCCTCAGAAACCATATTAACTTCTTTTGAAGATGAGTTACAATCCCTCCTGTTTCTTCTCTGTGTATCCTTTGCCTTTCTACATGAAAGATTCAGTGGCAGAAGAGATGTCTGCACCGGGAGCTGCAGGGGAAAGAGAGAGAGAGAGTGAGAGTGAGGGGAAGAGAGAGTCAGGGTGAGAGACACAGAGACAGAGAGAGAGGGGGGATCGAGACGGATTGATTTCCACCTCCAGCAGCTTCAGTTCAAAGCCAGCCAGCAGACTTCAGAGGCTCGGCAGGACCCGGCATGTCCCCAGCCGGGCCGAGCTGCCTGTCTGCGGGCAGGACTTCCCCTGGGGGGCCCGGGGCCCGGGACAGTCAGGCGGCACCAGAAAAACAATTACGCAGACAGACGAGAAAGTTGTGCGAGGTCACAAACGCGCACTACCTCAAGTGTCACAGGAAAAATAACGCCGTGCACTGTAAGTATGACGTGGCTTGTTATTCATAGAAGCTCTAAAATGATTGACTGAGACGAAATTAATAATAGAAATCGCTATCCGTTTTTCAAATCAAAGTAATCAGCACAGTACTTAATCCAATTCATTATCAACCATTCATCACGAACCAACTGAGGTCGGAAATGTGAAAAATGTGAGAAATGGAAAAACAATCAAATTTTTCTACCACCTTAGGCTAAAACCTTTGCATCAACACGTACAGTGAGCTACCTTTAACATGCTCCACAATCATCTAGCTATATGCTTGTCACACACTCACTGTTAGAAAATGTATTTCTTGAAGCTGTCATTCCTGCAAATCATAACATTGAAAATGTTTTCATTCAGCCGTGTTCACTATAAACAAAACTATTTATTACTAGATAATTATGCCTTGCGCCAAAATCATCCTGTCAAGTGTTTATATGACAGCAGAAAGATTTCTTTGTGCGCTGTTGTTTTAAGTCACTTCTGAAAAGGAATTGCCGGTGTGATAATATGCCATGGTCCACTGATTCTTTATCATTTCCCGTAAAACAAAATAAAAGCAACAATTCGTGCATTTCCCCTTTGAGTGAAAATTACAGTGAAGCACATGTCTGCCTGGCATAAAAAAGTGCTGCTCAGGAATTTCCCCGAGTGTTGCAGCAATCCGTCCTTGCATTCCTGAGAGCGGAGCTGATCACTCTTCTTACCTGGAGCTCAGGAGCGGGGCGCACTGGTTTGGTTTTTCCCCTGCGCTACCGGCTAAGCTGCCCGATGATCAGTCCCGGTAATTGGTGATCAATCTCGAGCGTGGAGCCGGGTGAGCATCGCCGAGGGACTGACTCTAAGAGTTGTCTAAGAGTTTTTACTCCGCAAAGTCAAATTGTGCCCCAGCCTCTGCGCCGCTGCTTGTCGGTGCGTCTCCAGGCTCCTCCTTGATAAGAAAAAAGTGAGAAGTTTTCTCCCCGCCCTGGATAAGAAACGGATTAACGTGGCCCAGGTAGACTATGTTTTTCAGTCGGGGCAATTAATGTGCTACAGGCTACAACTCGACTCTGCCATCTAGCGTTCATAAGACCACAGTGGCATGACTATAGTCTTAAACAAGTCTATGGTCGTCATGAGGGAAACAAGAAGCTCAGTTATAGTTTGCACTGAAAGTCTAATTAGTAACAGAATAAGGTCACTAAAGGTCACTTTGTGTACATTTAATAATTCATAAAAGTGTCACCACAACTACCACATCCACCTCTGTGACCTCAGCTACTTCATTCCACTTCACTTGGCATGGTGTGAGATCATGCAAGTTGTTTATTCATGTTTTTATTTTGAAGTGGCAAAGTTGAACATGCTAATATTTTCATTCAAAGTCACCAAGATGGACACGATTATAAATGACTACATCTGAGCGAGAAATCAGATTTGGAGACAAAGAGGGAAGGCTGAGATGGTTTGAAGATGTGCTGAGGAAGGATCGTGGATAGACTGGACGTTGAAAGACGTAGAAGATGGAGCTGCCGAGGCAGAAGAAAAAGAGGAAGGCCTCAGAGAAGGTTCATGGATGTAGTAATGGAGGATACGGAGGGGATTGGTGTGACAGAAGAGGATGCTCAGGATAGGGTGAGATGGAGGTAGATGATCCGCTGTGGTGAACCCTAAAGAGAGCAGCTGAAACAAGAAGGCTAAACAGTGAAGGAATAACAACAGAACATCAAACGACACATTAAACAATAAATGATAACCACAGTATTGCTACTGTAGATGGATAAACAAAAGTTGCACATTAAGACTGAAAATATACAATTAAACTTCTTAATATAAACACCCTGCAAATACCCCACCGCCACAAACACACACACATACACACACGCACACACAAGACATAGGTTGAGTGTGTCTGTGATGTAGCTAACTGGTGCCTGATGTCTGAGTTGGAATAAAGCTTCGACTTTAGTCTTCTTCTCCTCCTCCTCCTCCTCCTCCTCCTCCTCCTCTTCCTTTCCGCTCCTTCTCCTTTTCTCAGCCACAGGAAGAATGAGATAAAAGAGGGGCTTTGAAAACACTGGGAGGCCTGTAATTACTTACTCTTCATCTCGGTGTCCGTCTATCCGTCTCTGCCTTCGTCTTTCATGTCTTTTTTGTTTTTCTTTTATTTGGTCACTTTCTGTTTTTTCCCCCACTTTCTTTGCCCTCTTTTCATCGTCTTCTTCCTTCTCCATCCTCTTCTCTCTTTCTCTCTCTTTTTCTGTCATCCTCGCTCCTCTTTTGGAGCCTCATTGATGTCTGTCCAGGGCTTCCTGACTGAAACGGAGGATGAGAGGAGAAGAGATTAGATGAGAGGAGGGGATAAAGAGAGGATGAGGAGGGGATAACAAGAAAAGTGATGAATTCTGCTGAGAGAACGATGGCTGCTCTGTCACACACCGGACAAAAACACATATTAAGCAAAACCTGTATTTACTGCAGTAGATGGTGGAGCACACTTTAGTTTAGATAATATGACATAGATGATGAAAGAGATGCTTTAATGAGACAAGCTGGGACAGATGAACCATAATGCAATGAAAAGAAACAGAAGCAGATGTCATGAGATAAAGGATTTTTTTTTGTTATGTAATTTTCTAAATAGACCATGCAATTTATCTAATACGTCTTATATGTGGAAAATGTAGTGCATCTTATAATGAAAAGCAAGGTTTCAAATGAATGAAGCCTTAGTTATCATGCTCTAATGGCTCCTCTGGTCTGCATTCGAATCAAGACAATATCCTTATTTCCGCCTGCTAAATGTGAACTATGTAGTTCAACAGGATGTATTTGAAAAACACAAATCTTCCTGACATTATGTGAAAAAGTATTTAAAAAAGATCTCAGAAAGCAACACATCATGACATGATCTAAAGAAACTCAAGAACAGATGAAGAAGAAAGTCATTTAGATCTTTCAATCCAGGGTTGCAAAGCCATTTCTAAGGTTTTGGTTCTCTAGTAAACAACAGTAAAAACCATTATCCACAAATGGTGAATCTTTCCAGTAGTGGCCGGTCTGCCCAAATTACTCCAAGAGTGGTGCACTGATGACTCATCCAGATCACAACAAATTCAATAACAAGATCTAAAGTACCTCAGGCCTCACTTGTCTCAGTTAAGGTCAGTGTTAATGATTCACCAATAGCAAAGAGACTGGGTCATTCATGGGAGCGTCCTGAGGTGAAAACTAGTGCTGACTAAAAAGGACCTGAAGCAGCAAAGCATAAGAAGAACATGCTCTCTACCAAAACAGTTAATGCCCTGAAGCTCAAGTTATTCAGCAGAACAATAGTACAAAACACACCAACAAGTCCACTCAAAAAACAAATCTTTTGAATGAGTTTTGGATCGGCCTAGTCAAAGTCCAGACTAAGATCCAATTGTGTTGCTTTGGCGTGTCCTTAAACAGGCCATTCATGCTTGAAAACCCTCCAATGTGGCTGAATTAAAACAATTCTGAAAAGAAGAGTGAGCCAAAATTCCTCCACAGTGATGTGAAAGACTCATTGTCAGTTTTCGCAAATGCTTGAGTGCACTTCTTGCTGGCACAACCGGTTATGTTTTAGCAGGCAAATACATTTTCACACAGGGCCAGGTAGGTTTGGATAACCTTTTCCCCTTAATAAATGAAATCAGCATTGAAAAACTGCATTTTGTATTTAATCCGTTTATCTTTGTCTAATATTAAAATGTGTTTGATCGTTTGAAGCATGTGACAAAGATGCAAAAAAAAAAAAAAATAGACAGCTCTGATAATTTTTCTCCTTTTAATAATACATGGCATGAATGACATGTGATTGTTATTTATTCACTTCATGTTTTTTTCTAATTTATTTTTTGGGGTCTGTCTTTATAAAATATGCTAAACAAATTAGGTTTACAGCTACCACTACTTGATGAACAAATCTAATCATTGGCAGAATATATTTAGGCTCTACAAAGTCTTAAAATGCATTGATGTAGGACATCTCAGTTTCAAAGAATCACAAGAGCACAGCATCTGTCACAGAATGCCTACCCTGTTTATAACCCAGCTAAGCTCCAATCAAAGCACTGTAGCTCTGAGAAGACAGAAGTCAGCGGAAGCCTAATTTGTTTGGTATATTGAATTAGGATGACTTCAGTTTACCACCAAAACACACTTCTCATGCCTTTTATAAGGCTTAAATGTCCAAAAAGCGAAACAATATTTTAAAAAATCCATAGATGAGTGCAATATTTAAAAGACAGAATAAAAATGCAACCACTGATCTCTTCTGATTCATATTAATAACCACAACCACAAATTATACAGGCTTTCCACTTGATCTCAGGGTTACTGTGTAAATGGAATCATGTTTCAATATTATTATGAGTAGTCAGAGTCCACAGAAAATAAAAAAATAACTTTGTATGTGTCACATCGCAGGTAGACAACACCTCTTGAGCATTGTTCTTTTTGTTACACATTAAAAAAGGTGTGGAATGCGCACGCTGTACTACTGAAACTGCCTACAACAGACTCTATGACCTTGCCATTACCCCTGGAAGTCTTTCAGTGAGAACACACACACGCACCACTCTTCAGTGAGGAAGCAAGAGCCGGTTGCCATGGTAACTGTCGTGTCAGCTAACCTACTTTTGCATGAAGGAAAGTCATTGGCGGCTGAGAGAGAGGTGTATGGTATAGGTTTATGGTAAAGATCCACCCATTTACACATATACACTCACACGCGTCCACACATATACGCACAGTAAATGTTTATTATATTTTTATACCTAAAGCAAACAAGATTTAATCTTCCTTCAGTTTAGTCCGATGAAATTAGAACTGATAAAGATGAAGATAACATAGGATTCTGTGAAACTTTGGTGAACTAGATTTGTGCAGAAGTAAACAGCTGTAAGAAAAGCAGCAGGAGGAATGTGAATATAAATGAAGCTGAAGTGAGGTCAGCACAAATCAGGTTTATTTTCATGGCTCATCACGGCAAGAATTTCCCAGAGGACAATATCCAATTGCAAAATAACTACACTGCAGTAATAAAAACAATAAGTTATTTATTTATTTTAAGAATAAAGTGAAACATTGCAGCGCACTATGCAGTAAAATTGAATACAGAGCACAAAATACACGAAGAAATCACTCACAAGGCTGACTGTAACTTATTTTGCAAAGCACTGAGCAATCTGCCATTTTCAGACGCTCATTCCTTGGGAAATGTAAAGAAAATTCAAATAAACCCAACACAAATGTACATATAATTTACCTTACATGCAATGCACTATTGTACTAACTGATTACATGAAAAATAACACTTTTTTTTGCATAATCTTTTAGCTCATCATTACAGTATCTAATAGAGAGCATTAACATGCAAAACAACAGCATGTGCACTGCAGCAGAGAAGCACGTGGAGTGCATGTGTGTTCATGCTTTGCAACATTGTTAGACTCTGTAATTTCTCTGAGAGTTGACTAGCCCCTTATATTAGCAGAAAGCTAGTTATCATTCTTAATTGACACGTGTGCTGGTTAAACAGCATCCAGCTTTTGTCTATTATTGACAGCAGTGCATCCTACAGGGAGCCCTGACGATCCTGCTTAAATGGATTGAGGGGATTTTCATCCAATAATCATTTATGTTCACTTCTCTCTGTAGTTCCCCTCTAATTCTGAATCATTGGCTGTGAAGAATTGTGTTAAGCAGATGAAAGACACTGGGCATAAGACAGGAGTGAGTATGATAACGAGAGGGGAGGGAGACAGGATGAATTTTGGTTCACTGCCAGCACTCGTGGGCTGCTGCACTAGTGAGGTATTGAGAATCAGGGCTTGATAACAACAACATACATGTGTTTTAGCAGCTGAGTTGCATTGGATTGCTCCGTGGCTATAGACATACAAATACACCTTAGGAAATGGGAGGCCTCTGTAGATAAATGGCAAGTGGAGCTCTGTGTCACAGAGAATTTTTTTTAAATAACCCCATTACTGGCATAAAAAACAAGCCCTTGATTTCAGTCTTTTTCTAGTTAGCTGTAGAAGCTTCTTTTCCAGCTCCTTTAATATAGCCTTTACTGTGCTGTGCAGTTTTTATCTGTTTAGCTCTACACCATTCATTACCAAACACATGGACTCCAGTAAGAGTGCTTTTTTAAATCAGTATGCTTCATTACATTATTTTAACTGTGCTTCTCTGCTCTGAAATCTTCTTCAGTGTTTAAAACTTTGTACAGAATGCGTAAGTGTATTTTAACAGCCCGATACTGTCATAAAAATGAACAAAAAATCTGCAATACTGTGTCACAAACAGACACACTCACACACACACATACACTCCTTATTTCTTATTGTATCCCTAAGCTGTACACCCTCTTCTTTTCATCGTGGGTGGTAAAGAGTGGGTTCACCCTGCAACCAGGAAGGCGTCACTTTAGTCACACAGACATAGACACTCGCAAACACACAAATGAGCACAGACACACACAGTGGTCTTAATCACTCCCTGCCTCTCCTGAATGTGAGAGCAGAGCAAGTCTGAACAGGTGGACGAGCTGAGAAAGACTATGGCTGAGAAACAGACCACATGGTCATGTTATCGTCACTTCGCAGAGAGTTTAATTGACTTGTACAGAAATTTGCTGTGGATTTGTCTTGGTGACATTAACAATACTAGCCAAACTTAACTTAAACATAACTTTAAACTAAAGCCAGTGTACTGATTTAGCTTACATGATGTAGATTTGTAATGCGATTTGGCTAATGAGTAATACATGGACCCCCCCAACACACACGCACACATACATACACACATTTCCTTGTCCTTTGTCTAGTTTGTGCTCATTATATAGCATATGCCAGGAATAGGTCAGTGGAAATGTTACAGATTTCTTTCCCTGTATCTTTAAATAAAGGTCATGTCATTTCATAGGAAATGGCATTGTAATCATCTTACCATGTTTCTAATGTAGCGCTGTCAAAAATGTTATCTGTAAATAGAATCCTGGAATTATTCAGTGACATTCCCTTTTACAATTTGCAATGAAACTAATGATAATGAGGTTTTGCATTAGAACCATCTATTGATACCATTCATTTTTCACTTGCTTATCCAGTTGGCTGCAGCCTATCCCAGCTATCATAGGGCGAAAGTCAGGGTATACCCTGGACAGGTCGCCAGTGTATTGCAAGGCTAACACGGAGAGTCGGAAAACAAGCATAAGAAGAACATGCAAAGTCCACAAAGAAAGGCTCTGGGTGGCTGGTGGATTTGAACCCAGGACCTTCTCATTGCGCTAACCAAGTAGTTTATAATGAGGCAATTAGCTGCCCATTGTCATATGAGCTAGGCTCTGTATGTCCCCAGCCTGAATGAGCCTGAATTTGATAAGCCGTTAAAAGGATGGGTGGATCGTAACCACGGTTCTTAAAGTGTTGTCCGTAGAATAATTGCCACTTCTGAACAAATGTGCAAGCACAGCAAGGAAAGAAGGCACTACTATGTAATTAATCCAAAGTTCGTGTCATACTATAACTACTGAGCGACCATCACTCCTGTTTTAAATAATCTATTCTACCTATGATAGCAGACCACACTTTCCTTATATTAAAAATGATTAATAATGCGTGATGTATACGTTATTCCCCTGCGCCCCAGTTGTACATTGCCTCCGTAAATTGACACTGAGTCACGAAAACTTTGAGAATCTCTGACTAATTGATTTAAATTAAAAAGTCACAGGAAACGACCGCCAGGCGTCGCCACAAACCACCCTTTCCCATTCCCTCAACCATCAGCTGGATGTTGTTACTGAGGTAATCAAAATGATGTCTTCTCCTGTCAGGTAGGCATCACACAAAAAGATAGCATAGAGACTGAGATCAAGCCCGCGCCCTGTTGGTCGCATTTGAACAGAAAGGGGAACAAAATCGAGAAAAAGCGTCCAGGAATCAACTTTTGTATCTCTGGATGCTGCGAGCTGTGAGGATTTGGAGAATCAAAAACTAGGAATGAATTGTTTATGACAGGTATAAGAAGGTGAGATGGCAAAGAACCTTTCGGCCTTTCAAGGAGCGATACCAGCTTCCTTCTTAACCATTTGGAGTGAAGGTGTGAGGAGTGAGAGAGCGGGCTGCTGGTAATTACCGAGGGGGGCTGTGGAGCCGCCTGCATGCCTGTGGTGGTTCTGAGGTGTAAGGTCTCTCTCTCTCTCCCTCTCGCGCTCTCTCAGTCTTTATCAATCTGTCTTTGGTGCGTGAGCGCGCACCGCAATTGTGATCGGCGCGCGGATGATGATGATGAGAGCGTGACCTCACCGCTTTCCGCACAGCTGCTGGAGAGCGGGGGAGACACACGGAGAGCCGAGCGAACAACATAAACACGCCGAGGGAGACAGCGAGAGAGAGGCGCGGAACAGCGGAGAACATTCACAACTCAGCGGGGAACCGCTCGGCACGAGGGAACACCGTCGTCGTAGGGCGTCCGTGGACTGCTTCCCAGTCAGTCCGCCTCCCAGAATGTTCTGTGCCCCCGGTTCTTTTCTACGGTACACGAAACAGTCGCCGCGGCGTCCCCACGGACACTGAAGCCCAGATGCTCACCCTCTCCGCCGACATGGACGAGTCCTCGTCACTGCTGGATCTGCTGGAGTGTTCGGTGTGCCTGGAGCGCCTGGACACCACGGCTAAGGTGCTACCGTGCCAGCACACCTTCTGCCGCCGCTGCCTGGAGAACATTGTCAGCTCCCGGAACGAGCTCCGCTGCCCGGAGTGCCGCATCCTGGTGGACTGCGGGGTGGACGACCTGCCCGCTAACATCCTCCTGGTTCGCCTCCTGGATGGTATCAAGCAGCGGCCCCAGCGAGGAAGCGGAGGAGGAGGGGGAGTAGGAGCGGGAGGCAGGCAGTCCCTAGCCGGGGGCTCGCTGCAGGGGTACGCAGCCGGGATATCCGCCTCTCCTCCGGGCACAGCGATCAGGGAGCTTCCCGTGGCCACCAGGAGCTCTCCTGTTAAGGTTAGTCACTTTTCCCCCAATTGTGCACGATGTGGATGACGACACCTAACATCCAACACTTTCGAAAATACGTAATTTTGTAAAAAGTTAGTTGGTTTTCATTTTGCAATACGTAACGCACAACTTTAAGGTTGTTTGCACGGCACTCTGTACCGTACTGAGAAAAGTACGGGCGTTCTTTCTCACGCTTTTAATTACTGGAACTGTAGATCAGCGTGCTCATCATCCGCCTGCTCAGATATTCAGGTGCTGTGTAGTTAGATGCAAACATTCCAATTATATCCTGATTAAATAAACTGTGATTTCATGCATCGGTCATACTTCTGGTCATGAGTTGAATGAAGGGAGGAAAAAAAACTTGGAATAAGACTCTAAGTCATGGAATACATTGATCGAGAGAATGAGAACATTTCTTTCCAATGTTCATAATATGTAACTGAATGGAAAAGGAGAAATGCATTGCTGTGGTTTTCCCATACTGTTACAAAGACAGAGATGTGTAGTGACTCATTTATAATCTCTCTTGTGTTACCTAATTAAACTGAACTGAGTTTGCAAAGCAAGAGGGGAGGCAAACGTGAAGACAGATGGAAGAGGATGGGGTCACTGGTCAGTGTTACAGTTGCCATACTTCTGGTAATGTCCAGCCGCCCACAGGCTGCAGCATTCTGAGGTTTTATTACTCACACTCAATGGGAGTAGATCTGAGAGCTTTGTTTACTTCAGTGCAGCCAGCATTGTCTTATGGCTGTAACTTGTTAAAGAATATGTCAGTTAAGCAGTAAAATGTGAGACAATCTGCACTTAGCTGCAAAAATATTGACTTTTTGCTGGAATTTTCACCTGGGGTCTAAAATCTGGAAAAGCTTATGGTTTGCGGTTTGATAGAAATGCTCAGGGTTTTTCTTTTTGTTTGTTTTTGTTGTTTTTGCTTTACTGAATTCAGAAGTACCAGAATTGTGTGGTTAAACATCCTGCAATTAAACAATTTAAATGTTTGTACAAATAGCTAAAGTGCTTTAAGATGTTTTTCAAGACTCGAATTTCAGTTGTAAACGCATACTGACAGTGAAATCAGAAAATTCAACAGCTAATGGAAAAGACTGGCTAAAAACCATAAATGTGGTAAGGTGTCAGAAGGATCTTTGAAAAAGAATTTGCGACATGTTACAAAATTTATTGTGGACATATTGTGTGTGTGTGTGTGTTGGTTTTATGATAAGAACAATGAGATTTCTTAGAGCTGGAGTATACAAGAGTTTCCGTCATGAATTTAGTGAGGACCTGAGTAAGAAAGATGGTAAATGGCCTGCATTTGTATAGCGCTTTACTCAGTCCTTAAGGACCCCAAAGCACTTCACACTACATTCAGTCATTCACACATTCACACACTGGCAATGGCAAGCTACATTGTAGCTACAGCTGCCCTGGGGCGCACTGACAGAGGCGAGGCTGTCGGACACTGGCGCCACCGGGCCCTCTGACCACCACCAGTAGGCAAACATGGGGTTAGTATCTTGCCCAAGGATATTTGGCATGCAGCCAGGAGGCAGCCTGGGATCGAACCACCGACCTTCTGATTAGTGGCTGACCTGCTCTGCCACCTGAGCTACAGCCACCCCAAATGCAGAGGCAAAGAATGTTCAAGCAACTTAAAAACATTCCTGTCAGGTCTCACACCATATTCAGTGCTTGAGTTTTCTCACATTAGCTAGGCATTGTTTGAAGATGTGGAGCGCTTGAGGTGGTGAACAGAAATCCAGACCCTCAGTGACATTTCTGCCAGCACTTAAGCCTTTATTTCACTTTGCTTGTTAAACTTTAAGGGGCCTACAGGCAATTTTGGAGCTTGGAACAGCAAAAGCGACATGTGGTGATATAAGCTCTCATAATTTTAATAGTTTTATACAGAAAGTGTAGAAAGGATATTGAACTGTTAGTTTTAAAAAAGTTTTTGGACAATTGCTCTGGAGCACAAAGTGACATCTTGATTTGCAGTTTGCACCGGAAATAATGGTATCCAGAAAATATTTTATATTTGCTGGAATTTTTAATATTTAGGGTTGCTGTAGCTCAGGAGGTGACTTTACCTCCTGAGCTATGCTGGTTCAATCCACTGCCAATCCACCACCTGCTTCATCCCCAACCAGTTGCGGAAGGTGGCCGCCCCTCCCTGAGCCTGGTTCTGCCTGAGGTTTCTTCCTATTTAAAGGGAATTTTTCCTTCTCACTGTCGCCTAGTGCTTGCTCAAAGAGGGTAGCTTGACTGTGGGGGGTTTCTCTCTATTATTGTAGGGTCTTTACCTTACAACCCCTTGAAGCTATTATTGTTGTTGTGATTATGAACTATATGAATAAAACAGATTTTGGAATTTAATTGAATTCGATCCCTGGCTGCTCCCGCCTGCATGCCGAAGTATCCTGGGTCTAGATGCTGAACTCCAAGTTGTTCTCTGATGTGTTCATTGGAGTGTGAATGCAAGATAGAAAGCACTAGAAAAAGTGCTTATATGAATAGGTGTGAATGGGTGAATGAGGGATGTTGTATAAAGCGCTGTGAGTAGAAATAAGAACCACATAAGAACCAGTCCAGTTACCATTTACTTGTAAATATACACGATTTATTGAGTAATCAAGTAATCAGCAGATCACTTCAGCCGTACTAACATGGATTTCAGAAGCTGTTGTCCGAAGCAGCCACATACATGCACAGTGGACGCTTACTACTTAATTGTGGCCAGTCTGTGCTTGTTTTAGGGCCCCATGGGAGAGGACTCCACTGTGGACCAAGCTTTTATTGGTCAGTGAACACACAAACAGTCACCCGCTAGTACACGTGCACACACCTATAACCCATTAACGCCCCCCCGCAATCCCACTGCAGTCACTTTGTCCAAGTCTCATCCAGGCTCTCCTGGGACCAAGGCTTGGTGATGAAAGTGTGAATTAATCTCCTCTAACAGTGGTGTGTGTGTGTGTGTGTGTGCGTGTGCATTTGGATGCACACACCTCAACATATAAACAGCAGGGGTCTCGCAAAAGGATTTAATTCTCTCTTTGAGTGACACACTTGTGCAGCACTACCTCACAAACACACATGGTCACAGAGGGAGTCAAACAGGTGAAACAGAGCACTCTACATCATGTATTTGGGGTTGTAGATTAGAATGAATGTGTTGCTATGGAAAAGGAAGAAGAGGCAGGCATGCTGAGTCAGCAGTGAGATCTGCAATTCCCCCGCTCTTTGTGCTCCTTGAGCCTCTGTTGCCGACTTCGTGCTTTGACCAGTTAAAGTCTATCAAGACCGATAAAGTCTATTTTGCCAATCAGAAAGAGAGATTACAATCCCCATCTATAACAGTGTCAAAAAATAGCTCTTTCACATTGTTTTTACAAACCTTTACAGCGTTATTTCCTCTGCTCAAACATTTTTTGGGGGTCAAACATTCAATTGCTGTGTTGCTCTTAACTTGAAAGGAGAAATTGCATTTTTAATACATCTTAAGTAGTCCCTCAGTCGTTGTGAAGAACATCAGCTGTTGCATTTGTTTGCTCGTTGTTTTTCTTTCTTTGTTTTGCTTTGAATAGCACAAGATTTTTATAGTAAATCAATTTTAGTATATTTAGTCTCTTTCAATCTTGGCAGCATGGTGTTGTTGTTCCCTCACAACAAAATCCACCTTTCTCTGTGTGTATGTTTCTCCTTGTGTCTGCATGGGTTCTCTCCAGGTGCTCTGGCTTTGTCCCGCAGTTCAAAGACATGTGGTTAGTGGGGTTAGATTAACTGGTGATTCTAAATTGCCCATACGTGTTAGTGGTTGTTGGTCTCTCTGTGCTGTGTGACAGACTGGTGACCTATTCAGGGTGTGCTCCGCCTTTTGCCCTATGGCAGCCAGGATCGGTTCCAGCCCCTCCCCTGAGACTTTGAATTGGATAAGCGGAAGAGAGTGGATCTTTGTCAATCAACTAAATTATGTTAAGTCTTATTAAAGCACAGTAATACTCAGACTCAGTTATGGCACCTGTCTTTTATTATCAGTTCTCATACTGACTGCAGCGTTGTTCTCAATTTTCAGTTCTCTTGTTTTAGTCCTGTTTAGCATGTGTTTTAGCTAGATTTCCAGAAAATGTGTCACTGTATGTACGTTAAATTTCAGTCCAGTTGTAGATAGCCCAAAGGAAGCATGGTTGTACACTGATTAGCCCTGCCACATCATAGCAAGAGTGTTCCTGGTTTGAACCCACTGGGGCCATTCTGTGTAAAGTTTGTTATACAGAAAAAAAATCATTTATCAAGGTTTAGGTGTAAAACTAAAACCAATTTCTTGGGAAAATGGGGGAAAAAATGCCGGCATATTTATGGTCACGTTTTTCTCATGGCACAGAGTGAATCAGATCTTATTTTTGAATGTGGTCAATGTCATTACAGAAACCTATTTGATACAGAGCCTTTTGCATTGGTTTGATCAGAAATGTCTTCACTTGCTAAGTCTGAAGAGAGACAAATAAGACGTCTGCACTCTGAAGCATTAGAATGCTATCATCAGGACCTGATGATGACACTGAAGGATGACTCGCACAGATTCATGAATTTTTAGTGGCTTTCTTCTGGCAGGTTGGCCTTGGTAGGAATATGTCCTTTTAGAGTGGATTGTTTTTTGAGAGTTAGGGGTTTATGGATTATTTGGGCTCTCTTTTATACTTCAGTGACTTACCCAGACTCCTGTTTGGTATTCAGTTCGTCTGCTCATCCATCTGTCAGTGATAGATTTTGTCTTAGAAGAGATTAATTTTGGATCGCTATGCACAGTATAAAACATTCGAAGTTCTCAATCATTTTGATGTGATCACGAATCAAGAATATTCTTCGGAATTATATTCTGGTCATTTACAGATAATTATGATGTACCTGAGCATCAACAGTCAAAATTCAGAGCTAAACCGATCTATCAAATATCTGTTCAAGCAAACTGCTGCATATCGTCACACTGAAAGTAATTT